GTGGGGCTGAGATAAAATGATCCAAGTATGCAGCTTTCAGTTGACCCAGCCTAATTCAAGGATAAAACAAAGAATGGTCAGAGGGACATGCAGACAACATGTCCTTGCAAAAGCCTCTATAAATAATACTTCAACATGGGTGTTTAATAAGAGCTGGGCAGCAGTTTGCAATTAGATGGTTTCTAAATTCCAGTCCAGTTCTGAAAGATCTAAGTGATGTTTTGGTCTTCATTTACTTATACAAATAGAAGATTTGGTCATTTTTCCCCCTCTTACTGCCCACTCCCAAATGAATGGATTGGGAATTTCTGCCAGACAGGGGGGCTCTAACTATTAATGTTAGTGTTGTTTTTACCAACGAAAGCCACCAAGTACTTATATGCCAGTCTCTGTGCTTCGTTTCCCCACGCATTCTCTCACGTGAGACTCCCATCAATCCCGTGTCATAGTAACTGTGATTAGTCCCAGTTCATATACACGAAAGAGAGATTTAGAGAATTTTAGCAAATTGCCCAAGGTCATAGAGCTAATTATCCAGATCTTTCTAGATCTAGAGCCTAGGCTCTTAGTCCTACTTTAGAGTGCCTCTAGTATTAATGAAATATGATTATTCATAGAAATGCTTAAGCCTGTCAACAGAAATGTGAGGCCATAATAAGGCTACTGGGGGAGGAAAGAGTTGTTCTTAATAACAGCAAAATAGCAATAGGGCTTTTAGAGACTTTGTCAACCTATAAAAAGTATAAAAGGATGAAAAATAATGTGAAAGGCAGAAATCCCCAGAGAAATTCCAAGGGAACACTATCCCATCCCAGGAAAAGAGAAAACTTCTTTTCCTCTTCTCTTGAAAATGAAGTTTTTCCTACCCAGAGACTCTAAACATTGGCTCGCTTTAATCATTCATTCATTCATTCCAAGATAGAGATTTATCCAGAGCTACTTCATGCCAGGCACTGTCAGCAGAGAACAAGAGAGAGTTCTCAAAGCTTCCAATCTAGCCATCAAGTAGAAAATGTATTTCCAGATGGTATTAAAGTGCTTTGAAAAATATTATGCTAAGGGAATTAAAGATAGTGTGAGGGTCAGAGAGGGGAGAAGCCATTCCAGATGACCCGTCAGGGAGGGCCTCTCTAAGAACCAAGTGAGAGAAGCCAATCACGAAAAATGTGGAAAAAAGACATTCTGGAAAGAGAGACTACCGATAGAAAGGTCCAATGACAGAAACAAACCTTCCACGTTCTAGAAACCTCAGGAAGGCTGGTGTAGTTGGAGCAGATGATAGCAGAAAAGACTTGGTGGGATTGGCAGATGAGGTAGGAGAAACTGGGGAAAGGGGAGAGGTCTTGCAAGGCCTATAGGGAAAGGAGTTGGATTTTATCTGAGGGCAATGGAAATCCACAGGAAAATTGTAAAACAGGGGAGTAGCATCATCTGATTTACTTTAAACCCTCCAGGGCTATATTCACAGTTCCTATAGGGAAATTCAAGTGGGTGTGGTCTTTAAAGATTAAAGTACATCACCTTTTGTTAAGGATATTATCACTGAAAACAATCAATTCTAACAAAATACCTTTAGCCTTCACGCCCTGGCTATCCATCACTGGAGGCTAAAGTTAAAAAAGATGCTTCCTTTTCCAAAGCTTTATATACTCCTTCACACTAAGGCACACAACTCTCAGAGCCCCCAGTGCTTCGCCTGACAGACCCTTCAGAAATGCCAAGATAGTTTACAAAAGAAACTGATCCTGATCCTCTATTTGAAACTCACCTTTGCTCTGCTTTGCCTGTACTAGGATACCCTATCCTTCGTCATTCTTCTGTTGCTTTCTTTTTCCCATAAATTCAAAACTAATCCTTCTAAATGTGAGCTGCTTGACCAAACTGAACATTATTAAAGTTAATTCCAACAGTCCTACAGTTAGTGTTCCCATGGAAGGCATACCTATGGCAGGAAGGACCACAGGTGAATTTTAATTTAGTTAATTTAGAGTTCTTCATGAAGCTAAAATTCCGGCTTCGACTTATTCAAGGAAATTCCTTTTAACAGCATGTCGGAACACAATAACTAACAGGGAAACAACCAATGTGTGAATGTATCAGGTGTGTGTATATTTGTGCTTGAAGGCAGAGATAAAGTTAACAGCATCAAACGGGATGACTAACAAGATCCACCTGCGCACAGGAGCTGTCACCACAGGGAAGAGCCAGAGCTGAGGTAGGCAAGGAGGTAAGGGAAAGCGTGCCTCCTCTTATTAACAACTGCTGACAGACAAGCCTCTGACACCCCCACTCCTAGGCAAAAATAAAATCACCAGCCTGCCCTTCTCCCAGGCTGCACAGCCTGATTACCCAGATATTAATCAAATCAACCTTTTCTGCAGGCCAGCTGTCAATATTCCAGGCGTAATAACTGTGTTACTAGCTCGAAACCATTAAAATCATTAAAACAGTGAAGATTCACATAATCCATGAATAGTACAGCAAACTCATCAGCACTATTCACAACTCCAACCCCTTGCACCTAGAAACATCCGGTGGTCCGAAACAATGGACAGCAGCCCTCAAATGGGCTGGGCAGCATGATGTGGGCAAGGAGGCTGTCTTTTGGCCAGGGCTTCATGGCAGCCAAAGGCAAACACTGTACCCTTAGACTTTTCAAAGCTTAGGCTAGAGTGACTAACAGATGAGCGATCTCGGGTTTGCACAGAGGGTGGGTCACATACTAAATTTGCCCACTTAAATTCAGGTTAATGCCTTTCATTGTTCATTGCCCCCAGTTCCCATTAGATCATGGTTCCTCATCAACCACCTGCATCACAATCTCATGGTCCACTTATTAAAAATGTGCCCCAATGAGAATAAACATCCCTAGAATGGGCTGGCAAACTGCATTTTAAAAATACTACCCAAGTCTGCACATTTAACTTTAAGGACCTCTGCCTTAGGGCAATGTTCCTTAAATTGTGGGCCATGACATTTTGGCCAAGAAATCGAATGAATGACCAGCAGTTGATTTTATTTTAGTTAAGCAGGAAAAAATATAAAACACAGCGCACTATAGGTGCTAACAGCAGTTATTGTCTCCTGGGACTTAACACAGTTGTGGACCTCTGTGCAATGATGTAAATGTATTCTTACTGTGAATCCTACTCTGTGAAAACCACTCTCCTAGAAGGAAGGAGGAAAACAGTATTCTTGTGCATGGTGTTTACTTTCTATCTTCCACCCCTAAATCCAAGCTTCTTGATTTTAGTTCAAGCACAAGATATCAAGACAGATCCCAGAAATGCTGTTATGAAATCCTAAAACAATGGACAAAGTCAAACTGAAGAGGGGATGAGCCCAAGGCCCCCACTCTACTCCTGCCTGAAGCCCTCACCGAGCAGCGGATAAGGGATGGTGCCAAAGGTAAGTTTGCACAATTCTCCTCAGGCTGAACCTATTCCTCAGTCAAGAATTTAAGAGTCGTGTGTATCACAGTTCAGAAGAATTTAAATGGTCCTCTTCAGAGGCAAGACTCAGTCTCAGCACTAAGGACTAAGGAAACGAAGGAAGGGATGGACGGAATCAGGTTCCGCCTATCTTTGCAGCGCTGTGGCAATGATTAAGTCAAAGGAAAGCCCCCTAGGGGTCTATCCAAGCCCAGTGCTCACAAGGCCCAGAGTTCTCAGAACCAGGAGAGCACTGGAGAGAATCCAGAATGTGCAGTCAAGTCCCACCCCAGAACCAATGACATGAGTTACTCGGGTAAATCACTTCTCAACCCCCTAGGTGCCTTGAACCACTCCTGTTCTGTGAGTGAGTAGAGTGCAGAGAAGCAGACAGCGTCCCTTCTTGCCCAATGCTGTAGGACAGAGCCCCAACTTGCATATCTTGCTGGACCAGGAGAGAGGAAACAAGGGAGGAAGGACAAGAAAAAAGGATGAGCAACTGTCTTGCCAGCCTTTAGACTCACCACAAGCAAGCACTCTTTGAAAAGAGCCAAAAGACTCCAATGCAGCAAGCTGACAAGAGGCCACTAAACCCCAGCAAAGCCCAGGAGCAGCTTCATAGGCCATTTGGCAGGACAGGGGGAGGATCAGCTACATGCAGAACAGAGAAAAACAGAGCACACGCACTCACGTGGCTTTTTAAGCTCTTGTTAGCTGAAGTCAGAGGTGGCAGTCTGCTGGGCTGGGTCCAAAAGAACAGGTGGTTCCCCTCCACACACCCCAAAGGCAGAAAAGCCACCAGTTGGGTAAAGACACCCAGAGGAGTTCAGCGGCCAAGGGGGTTAACTTAAAGCAGTGAGAAGTCGGGGCTGCCCCTCAGCGCCGGTTCCTGGGAGGTGCTCGTTGGAGAGGCCCCTGCATTCCGTCGGGCAGGAGGGAACTCGCGCCCACCCCGTTGGCAAGGACACTGGGGAGGCGCCGGGAAGCGGCCAGGCAGGAACTCGGCTGCGGTTACCTCGGCCCAGGGCCGGCCAGGCGTTCCTGGGAGTTTCGAGGGCGGCTAGTCCCCAAGAGGTGGGGGCCCCGAGGGCGGCGCCCCGGGACCCAGTGTCTCCAGGGCAGACCCAGCGTCACCGGGTACAGAGAACAGCCAAAGCTTCCATCCTGGCCCTCACGGAGTCCCAGCCCGCGGTAACTGTGCTAAGAAAGCAGCAGCGACCGGATCTGCAGGTTCCCCCACCCCAAACCCCCGCCGACCCGCGCAGCCCAGACTTGCCCGGCTCCTTGCACAGGTCCCGCGCTTCCCACCGCGGGCGGCCTCCGGGGCCAGACAGTGTTTGTAAACAATCCGGTCACGTGGCCCTGGCGGCCCGCTCTCCGCCCCCTGCGCCCAGGGACCCCACACCGGACCCCGCCTCGGCTATGCGGGCAGAGGGCGCCGCACGCTCCTCCAAAGCGGGGCCGAAGGGGCCGCGGGACCGGTCCCCAGGGCCGGGTACCAGGCGCCCGCGCTGACAGCACACCCACGCTCACGCGCGCCCGAGCCGCGCTGCGCTCCCCCTGGCTCACCCGGCCGCCGGCCGCCGCGTCCGGCCAGCGCTGGGCTCGGCTCCGCGGGGGTGCGCAGCTGCGGGAGCCCGCCAGGCTGGATCCCGGGCTCCGGGCGCGCTCTTAAAGCCACAGTCCCCGTCACCGCCGCCGCCACTCCGCATCCCTCCGGCTCGGGCCGGGGGGGTGGGGGGGGTGCTACCCTGTGATGGACGCGCCCCCGCACCTATCCTCTCGGTTCAGCACATAGCAACACGCTGCGGGTTGGCTCGGCACGGCCGCAGCCCATCCTCCCAGAGCCAATCAGCGAAGGACGGAACTCCGCCCCCCGCTTCCCCTACCTCCCACCCCCCCACCCCTCGGCCCTAGCCGGGCTTGGGTGCGGGGAGAGCCGCTAGCCGCTAGCGCTGGTTTTGGGGCGGCGAAGCTCTGCCGGCGGCGCCTGGCTAGTGAGGGCAACTGGCCGCAGGAATGGCGAGAAAGGGTAATAAAGGTGGGTGGGCTGTAAGCACCTGGAAAGATAACTGTTTATTTGGGTTTGGGGTTTGTCCCCAGGTCTAAGCTGGGAGCCCCAGAACCTGGGGTGGGCAAAGGGGAGGATTCATAGGGCTTCTGTTTGAAATGTCAAGTAGTGACTCCCTCCTTACGCCGCAGCCATGCCTAACCCAGAGCCTTACCTGAAGAGGCCCTCCGGACCCAGGGCAGTTGAATTTAATAAAATAGTGCCAGTCCCACGCGCCCCAGCCAGGCCCTACTCCTAGAAGCAAGGTATTTCCCCTCTTCTCTGCTCTGCTAGTAATTTCCGAGAGTTAAAACTAGAAAAGAGGCCTTAGAGGAATTGAAAGGCGCCCAGCCCCCTAATGCTGCTGATTTTCCTAGGCTTTTAGAGGGGGATGAGGATGGTTAGCCTAGGAAATGAAAGTAGGGTTATCAGTGACCGGGGTAGGGGGGTACCCCACGTTCTGAGTCAATAGGGTGGTGCTTTTCAAGGAAGAGAAGATTCAAAAATAAGCCCAGAACAGTCAGGAAATCCAGGAGGCACCAGGTGGGTGGAGTGGGGCAGTCTCCCAACAGGAAAGCAGGTCAGTTTGAGAAAGAATGCTGGCAGTGGTCAGGGGAAGAGAGCGGCCCAGCCTTTCCACTGTTCCATGAGGCTCTATAATTCCTCAGAGAACAGAGGGAAACCCCATGTTTTCATTGAAAACTATCAGGATGTGAGATACTTCTGGGGCACCCGCTGACTTCAGCCCTCTTCCATACACTGGTTTGCACATAAATGGGGAATGGTACTGGAGTAGATCCCAGTAGCTCTAAATTCATCTGCAATTCCACCCAGCTGTCTTTAAAATATATTTGATTCAGTCATTATACATTGCATGGTTGGATGTGAATCCAGTCCTAATGTTAGTAAAAACAACAAAAATACCTCAAATACATCAGTCTCCTACATATGTATCAGTCTTGGTGTGAGCAGGAGTACGTGTCACTTCACAATTGACACACTTGGTAAGTCTGAAACGGAAAAAAAAATGCTTTTCAGATAAGAAAGAATCATGATCAAGAAAGGTTTAACACACTTAATCCTTAATCTAAGAAGATGTAATGGATTCTTTAGATTGATTAAGAGCTTGAAGTCTAGCCCTGGTCTGTCTCGTGAGCAAATTTCTTTGTCTCTCTAGGCCTTGGTTTCCACAGTTTATGACAAAGAAGATTGAAATAGGATAATCTCTAAAGGCCCTTCCAGCTCCAAAATTGTAAGTAGGGCCAGAAAGTCAAATTTGTTACAACATTTCGGCAGTATTCTCCTAGTGAATATTTGTGTTGCCACCTCACACCACTTTACACCAGTAGATGCCCCATTAGTTTAGCACCCCAGGGTATTTGTATGTTATGTAACAAGATTGGTGGCTGCTGTTTCTGTTTAAATAAAAGACGTTATCTAAGGAGGACAAGCCTGATGCTGTGGTTCAGAGGGAAATCTGAGGCCCTCTGCAGGCCTGCTGTGTGTATGCAGGAGATTGGAAGAGGCACCAGGACTGGGACCAGGAGGCTGGAACCAGCCAGCCGGCCAACAAAAAAATGCGACTTGATAAGCTTCATCAGACCTCCTCCCAGCCAGAAGAGCCAAGCATTGTAAGTCGTTAAGCAAGAAGGTAGAAGTGAAACAAAGAAGTCGAAGGGACTTAAATTCCTCTCTGAAAAGTACTAGCACCTCTAATTGCCCCTCGGGACACATTTACTCAGTGCCTATTAGGTGCAGAATTTCCTATCCTGTAAGGCAAAAAGGAGACGGTGAGATGTAGGGAGAGATGTAGACAGATTTATTCAGATATGGTCTGAGGGCTCATTTTTTAAAACGCTTGGAGTAAAAGGATCTTTGAGAGGTTCCTGGCCTCACAGGCAGGTTATCAGCCGGCTTATCAGTGGCCAATACCCTTCTTCTCAGTGTGAGGCCGAATGCGTTCATTCCCAGCCCTCACAGCCATACTTGTCCAGCCTGCTCTCTCTCCCATGCCATGTTCCCACTTGTTGCCACATGGCTTTCACTATCCTGTTCACTTCCACGTGCTTGTTACAGCCAACTGCTAGCATTTGGCATGATCACGTCGTCCTTTCCTCACCCTGATACTAATCTATCAGCAGGTCCCATCAGCGTTGGCTCTACTTCAAAAACATATTTGCTCTGAACATTTCTGTCTCTGCTGCCACCAGGTTGGAGCCACCAGTATCTCTGGCCCAGAGTAAGCAATAGATCTCCCTGCTTCCAGTCATTCTCTACACAGCAGCTAAATGGTACTTCTTCAAAACAAACTCCTTACGATGACCCATGAGGCCCTACCGACCAGGTCTTCCAACCTCTCTCCTCTTCCCCATTGCTTCTTTGCTCATGCTGCTCCAGGCAAGCTGGCCACCTTTCTGTCTGCAAATACACCAGGCTTATTCCTGTTAGATTATTTGTATTTACTATTACCTTCAACTAGAGCACTTTGCCCTGTTAAAAAAAAACAGACCCAACATAGGGTCACTTCTAGGTAAAGTCACCAACCTGAGCCTTACTGCCCAACCTAATTGTAGTTTCAGCCTCTCCCAGGAGTGGAATTTTAAGTCAATCAGTTTGGAACTTCCAGTGAGGTAAACTGCATTAAGACCTGCTGCTCCTCCTAAGGGAAGGTGACTTTACTGGAAACAATCCCTAATCTAGTTTGCTAGTAACTGTTTGCCCCACCTTCCTGTCTATAAAAACCTTCCATTTTGTACAACTCCTCGGAGCATCTCTCTACTCACCAGGTGGGATACTGCCTAATTTGTGAGTCACTTAATAAAATCAATTAGATCTTCAGATTTACTTGACTGAATTTTGTTTTTTAACAGCCCCCAGATGACTGCCTCTCACTACTTAGTTCTCAGGTCAAATGCCTCCTCCAGAGAGGCCTCTGATCACCCAATCCTACAAGCCCCCCTCCCCACCCCAGCGTTCTCTGTCATACCTTCTCCCATCTTACTTTCTTTAGAACATATATCACTCTCAAAAATTACCTTGTTCATTTATTTCCTTGTTTTCTATCCCATGCAGCTCCAAAATGTAAACCACGGAGCATCAGGGACCTAGTCTGTCTTGCTTCCTGTTGGATCCCCAGTGCCAAGAACGGTGTCTAGCACTTGACCAATATTTGTTGAATAAATAACTGAACGACTGAATGCCTACGCCTCACACCCTTGTCCCAGCAGCCTCTTACTCTTGGGACATTGCTCTCTTTTCTATCCCCCTCCCCTCCTGCTCTGCTCTTCCCTCTCCTCCTCACATCTCAAAGCCTTCTGTTTGATGCCTCAGTCCAATGATCAGATCAAATGTCACTTCTTTGGAGGAGTTTTCCCTATCTCCCCAGAAAAATTACTTTTCCCCTTCTCAGTGCCCTCCATAGTACTTTATTTGTAGCTCTGTTACTTCGCTCAACACTGCCTGCCTATTAAGAGTTACCAGTTACCCATCCTCTCTGCCCATCCCTCCAGGGCTGGAATCTTATCAGATTGCCTTTGTATTTTTAGCACCTGACACAGGGTAGGCCATCCTCAAGGTTTATATCTGAATTGAATCCAGTAGGGACCCAAGCAGGAATGAATAGGGTCTGTCCTCAAGAGTAAAACTGATCAACAGGCAGCAGTCTTAACTTGGCAGCACGACAACATTAAAGCTGAAACTTCAGGATATTCTATAATAAAAAGGACAGGCTACGTTTTAAAATGACAGTACATGGGAAACTTGCTGACAGCTAAAGGTTACAGGCTCTCACACTACCATGCCACCTGGGAAAACATTCTCTCTGTCTGTGTGGGCAGTGGGAGTTGCTCCTCCCAGGCCTCACCTCTTCCTCCTTCCTCCCCAACAAGTCAAGTCCCATGACATTACATCACAGAGGAGGCCCTGGTGCCATCTTCCCGCAGACAGATCATGGTAACAGTGCTTTGTGTCTTAAGTACAATAAATGCTTTCTCTGATCCTTGTCCAAGTCCCTCATTTTCAGTCATGAAAGTGGCTGATTATGTACTAGTTTAGACTGTAAATGGAAAATGCTGTGCCACTGCCTCCTGAACACAAAAGAGCTGCTATTATTTATTGAGCACATGTTGTGTACAGATAAGTTTCTATTCTACCCAGTTATATTTAATCCTCAAAGCAACCTGCGAGACAGGTATTTTTCCCCATTTTTTAAAGAGCTGATCCTATGGCATTTGGACCCTGATCTATCTGGTTTCAAAGCCCAGTCATTCTCTTCTGTACCATCAAAGAGTAAAAGTGCTTCTCTCTTCTCTTACAAATCTCCCAATCGCCTTTACAAGGAAACTCATCAAAATATCAAACTGCCCCACAAAGTAAAACCGTATGCTAAGGTAAAGGGCCCAGAAACAAGAGTTGTAAGGGCTTAGCACTTCTATCTTAAGAACAACAATAATGATAATATTTATTAAGTGCTTCCTACGTTATAGGAGCTGGTGTAGACACTTTACATGCATTGTTAAATTTAACCCAATCTTCACAACAACCTTATGAAGAAGATACCACAGGTCTGCATACTTTAACCACACTTCCAAAATCCAAACAGCTCTGAAAATCAAAAGTAAGTTTGATTTGACACAGCTCACATGGAACAGTAAGAGGGCAATAGTGTTCAATAACTAAAATCTGGAGGGTAGAAAATATTTGAGAGGATACAAGCAATTATATATCTTCCTTCCTTTGTTTTCACAAGCTACTAATAGTACCCTCATTGAATATCTTTTCATTTCTAGTCTTTCCCAGGTGGGTTAGTCTTCTCAATATTTCTCTAATCAGTAGATTATATCTCACAGTCAGTTGTGATGCCATTGAGGATATCACTCTTCTGCACAATTTTAACTTTCAATAAATGGATGTAATAAAACATAGAAGATTTTCTTATGTTCCATTTAAAGGAAAACAAACATTTGACACAGCTCATTTGATGGCAAACTTCAACTGACCTGAGGTCATTTATAGGCTTTATTGATCCCATCTAGTATATTCATATGTTTCTTATAGGAATATTAATGTTTGAAAGAACTCATATTCCCTAAGGTTTTATGTAATATATAGTATATAAACTTTTAAAAATATATGAAGATAATTCTCCCTTGTACTCATTTCTTTATTTCTAGAAAAATTTAGAAATGCATATAGCATATGAAAGCTCTAGAATCTAAAACATATGCCAAGATTTCAAGTACTGGCTTGAGTGTGATATTACTATCCCTACTTTACAGACAAATAAATGTAGGTTCAGAGACATAAAGTGATTTTCCCAAGGTCACACAGCTAGTAAATAGTAGAGCTAGGATTGGAAAAATGTCTGAAACCATTGGGAAAAAGAACTGGAGCACATATGACAGACAAGGGCTCATTTTTCTGAAGGCAAAGGATATGAAGTATATGAAGTGACAATTCATGGTAGAAGAAAAATAAGTAACTTGTAAACATATGAAAAAATAAGCATACTTGAAACAAGAAAAAAATATAAATTACAATTACAATGATATGCTTTTATCTTATCAGATTGGCCAGTTGTAAAAAGTTCACTAACATTGTAATTTGTTGTGTACAGATAAGTTTCTATTCTACCCAGTTATATTTAATCCTCAAAGCAACCTGCGAGACAGGTATTTTTCCCCATTTTTTAAAGAGCTGATCCTATGGCATTTGGACCCTGATCTATCTGGTTTCAAAGCCCAGTCATTCTCTTCTGTACCATCAAAGAGTAAAAGTGCTTCTCTCTTCTCTTACAAATCTCCCAATCGCCTTTACAAGGAAACTCATCAAAATATCAAACTGCCCCACAAAGTAAAACCGTATGCTAAGGTAAAGGGCCCAGAAACAAGAGTTGTAAGGGCTTAGCACTTCTATCTTAAGAACAACAATAATGATAATATTTATTAAGTGCTTCCTACGTTATAGGAGCTGGTGTAGACACTTTACATGCATTGTTAAATTTAACCCAATCTTCACAACAACCTTATGAAGAAGATACCACAGGTCTGCATACTTTAACCACACTTCCAAAATCCAAACAGCTCTGAAAATCAAAAGTAAGTTTGATTTGACACAGCTCACATGGAACAGTAAGAGGGCAATAGTGTTCAATAACTAAAATCTGGAGGGTAGAAAATATTTGAGAGGATACAAGCAATTATATATCTTCCTTCCTTTGTTTTCACAAGCTACTAATAGTACCCTCATTGAATATCTTTTCATTTCTAGTCTTTCCCAGGTGGGTTAGTCTTCTCAATATTTCTCTAATCAGTAGATTATATCTCACAGTCAGTTGTGATGCCATTGAGGATATCACTCTTCTGCACAATTTTAACTTTCAATAAATGGATGTAATAAAACATAGAAGATTTTCTTATGTTCCATTTAAAGGAAAACAAACATTTGACACAGCTCATTTGATGGCAAACTTCAACTGACCTGAGGTCATTTATAGGCTTTATTGATCCCATCTAGTATATTCATATGTTTCTTATAGGAATATTAATGTTTGAAAGAACTCATATTCCCTAAGGTTTTATGTAATATATAGTATATAAACTTTTAAAAATATATGAAGATAATTCTCCCTTGTACTCATTTCTTTATTTCTAGAAAAATTTAGAAATGCATATAGCATATGAAAGCTCTAGAATCTAAAACATATGCCAAGATTTCAAGTACTGGCTTGAGTGTGATATTACTATCCCTACTTTACAGACAAATAAATGTAGGTTCAGAGACATAAAGTGATTTTCCCAAGGTCACACAGCTAGTAAATAGTAGAGCTAGGATTGGAAAAATGTCTGAAACCATTGGGAAAAAGAACTGGAGCACATATGACAGACAAGGGCTCATTTTTCTGAAGGCAAAGGATATGAAGTATATGAAGTGACAATTCATGGTAGAAGAAAAAGAAGTAACTTGTAAACATATGAAAAAATAAGCATACTTGAAACAAGAAAAAAATATAAATTACAATTACAATGATATGCTTTTATCTTATCAGATTGGCCAGTTGTAAAAAGTTCACTAACATTGTTATTGCAGAAGATGTGCAGAAACAGCCACTCATATGTTGTTTGCCTTAAGATAAGTTGGTGAAATTTCTATGAAGGGCAATTAGGTAAGCTCTCTCAAAATTAGAAATTAATATACTCAAAAATTTCACTTCTAGGAATTTCTCCTTAAGATATTCTCACACATGTACACAAAGATGGATATAAAAGGATATTGTAACATTGTTTGTATCAGCAAAAAATGCTAATTCTCTGAGGAATGTAATTTTGGAGTTGATTAAAGCCCAGACATTTTATAATGCTCTAAAACTGATAATGGGGGAATGATTACTTTTTTCTGTCTAATAGAAGAGAAACTCAGAAGTTATTATTTTTACTCTGTAGGACATTGACCAGTTTTGTATCACAATTAGCAATTTTATTTTAAATTTCTTTTTCTCTACTAACTTTACAATTTCCAATTTTCATATTCTCTTTTGAACCAATGTTGTCATCCTGGTGGTTTCTTCATTATGAATTAAAACCTTAATATGTACTTTCTATGCATTTATATTAGAAATATGCTTTTCATCTTTTGACACTAATGCTTAGAAATAACCTAAATCCATCAGTGAAGGACTGGTTGAATAAGTTACAATGCCTCTGTACAGAGGAATACTATGCAGTCATTAAAAAGAGGCAGGACTGTATGTAGCTGCTCCATGAGGGCAAGGATCTTTGGTTCCCTAATGAACATAGGCTCTTAGAATAGTGCCTGGGCACCTAGTAGTCTTAGTTTGCTTCTGACTTTGGTAACCAACAACCCAAAATTATCAGTGGCTTACACGAAAAACATTTCTTCTTCCTTCATGGAAATGAAGGGCAGCTATGGTAGCACTGTTTCAGGCTGAGGGTCACAGGTTGGGTTAGGTGGGCTTCCAGTATCTCACTTAGGGACCACTGACTACAAGAAGTACATGGAAACAATTGATGTCTTAAAGCCTTTACCAAGAACGATACACTGTCACGTCTACCTGCAATCCATTGGCCAAAGAGAATCATTTGGCCAAGCCCAATGTCAAGAGAGAAGAGAAGTACACTATACCTTCTTTACTGAAAGAGTCTCTGAAGTCACTCAGGATGTGCAACTACATCCTGAGTAGGGAGCAGTAGGTCAGGCTCTCACAGTGCTCAGTAAGTATATGTTGAATGGGTGAATGAAGAGGGAGCAAACTCCAAGAATTACATGGAGGAAAAGGCATGGTGCAGAACAGCTATACAGAGTACTCCAACATTTGTTTTTGAAAATATATTTACATATCATATGTGTACAAATATGTTAAAGATGGCTTTACTAACTCTAGGAAAAGGCACAAGAAGCTGGTACCTGTGGTTGCTGCTGGGGAGAAAAACTGGGAGAGTGGGGATTAGGAATGAGAGGGAGCCTTACCATTTAGTATCATGTGTATGTATGACCTATTAAAATTTGTATTAAATTCTCTATGGAGGGAATAAGAAGAGCAGTCCAACACTGTTTGACAGTAGAGTCCAAACTCTAACACTTTGTGCTATACCTTTGGGCTAAGACATGGAACAAATGCTTCCTTTTGTTCTTAATTCACCGCAAACTGTGCCTGGGTCTCCTTTGTCTCTGGTTCCTGTGGTCTTACTTCTAGTACAGTACCAGTTATAACAAAATTCCATGTCGATTTTTAAGTGGTTTAGAGCCACAATGTTCAAACTCAGTGGAAGTCTTCCCATTCCTGGGAAGCCCTGTAGTAGAAGTTTCTGAAGAGAGAGGGGTGAAACTCGTCCATCCTGTCCCCTGCAACCGAATCAACTTTGCTTTTAGCTGTTTTGCTTCTGGGGTTAAATAAAACCATCCTCCTAACAGTAAAATGTGGTGATGACTG